TGAGACTGAGAGATAAGAGGGCAGAAAGAGGTCAGAGAAAAACTTTGGTTGTTGAGGCTGCTTCTGGGGCCTCCATTTTGGGGTATTATTTTTCAAGCCCCAACATTGGTCAGTTTCTTTAGCTCAGTGATTTAATTTCACATCATTTATATCTAAGGAAAAAAATCCAAAATGTAGACAAAGAGTTCATGTAGAAAGAGTTCATTTCAGAGCTATTGTTTTAAAAAACTAAAAAAGAAAATCAAGGGAATGGTTAAGTATATCAAGGTATATCCATGCGATTGACTATGCAGTGACTGAAATAGTGTTTGCAGTGAGTTTCTTGGATAACACACTCTAAAACCAATGGTCTGTTAAATAAGGAAAAAAGATATAGTAAAAAAAATGCTGAAAAGAAAAATTTTAAGGAAATATGACAAAATGTTTATAGTAGTTGTTTCTAGGTAAGATCTGAGTGATTATTTTTATTTTTTGTAGTTTGTAAATTATCTACACATATGTTACACTCAGGGAAATTAAAATTAAATTTAACATATCAAGTTTAGATCATGGATACAGGAAGAATGTTCTAAAGAAAAAGAAAAGAATTCATCTCATATGAATGAGCAAATAATGAGTTCAAAGTTTCAAATTTTCTAGTGAGAGAAAAGGTTTTATTGTTGTTTGTTTCTCAGCTTAGCTGTTCAGTGACATTAATTTTTCTTTTTTTTTTATTTTTTTTTAGGGAAAAAGAGAAAAAGAAGGGGAAAAAAAGAAAAAGAGGGAAAAAGGAATATTACTTCATTCCTAAAATGGGTTTCAATAATGGCCGATCAATATTTTGAGTGTTTAAAGTGGTTAATGCATATTTTATGTGTTTAAAATGGAGACCTCTATTGTGTTTATTTGTTCTGGCTCTGAGTTCAAATCCTGGATACCGTTATCAATTTTCTGTCTCGTTGAATCTAAATCTCACTATGTGTCTTATGTATCTGGGTGTTAAGATCTCTTATTGTTACATTAATCCTTTTACCCTTGTATCCTTATAGCTTTGAAATCTATTTTGTCAAATGTGAAAATTGCAACTCCTGCTTTTCATTTATTTATTTTTGCTCTCCATTTGGTTGGTACGTTTTTTTTTTTTCCAACCCTTTATTTTGAGTCTATGTATATCTTTGGATATACCGTTGGATTTTGTCTGTATCTTTTGATTGGGAGATTTGGTTGATTTAACTTTAGGGTTACTGCCATTTGATATTAACTGGCTATTTTGTCCTTTTGTTGATAAAAATTCTTCTTTATGTTAATGCTCTTTACTTTTTGGTGTATTTTTAGAAAGGATCATACTGGTTGTTCCTTTCTGTGTATAATGCTTCTTTTAGAAGTTCTTGTAAAGCAGGCCTGGTGGTAATAAAATCTCTGAGTACTTGCTTGTTCCTAAAAGATTTTATTTTTCCTTCAAATGTAAAGCTTAAATTGGCAGGATATGAAATTCTGGGCTGAAAGTTTTGTTCTTTAAGTATATTGAATATTGGCCCCCACTCTCATCTAGCTTGTAGGGTTTCCGTTGAGAGATCTGCTGTAAGCCTAATAGGCTTACCTTTATGGGTAACTTGATCTTTCTCTCTGGCTGCCCTTAATATTTTCTCCTTCGTTTCGATCTTGGTGAATCTAACAATTATGTGCCTTGGGGTTGGTCTTCTTGAGGAATATCTTTGTGGTGTTCTCTGTATTGCCTGGGGTTGAATAGTATCCTGCTTTGCTAAATTAGGAAAATTTTCCTGGATAATGTTCTGGAGAGTATTTTCCAGCTTGACTTCATTCTCTCCGTCACATTCAGGTACACCAATCAAGCGTATATTAGGTCTTTTCACATAGTCCCATATTGCTTGGAGACTTTGCTCATTCCTTTTTATCCTTTTTTCTCTATTCTTGTCTTGTCGTTTTGTTTCATTAAGTTGGTCTTCGACCTCTAATACCCTTTCTTCTGCTTGATCCATTCGGCTGTTTAAGCTTGTACATATTTCACTCAGTTCTCGTGTTGTATTTTTCAACTCCATAAGTTCATTTGTATTCCTCTCTATATTGTCTATTCTTTTCAACATTTCATCGAACCTTTTTTCCAAGTTCTTAGTTTCTTTACATTGGGTTAGAACAAGTTCCTTTAACTCCCAGAAGTTTCTTATCATCCACCTTTTAAAGCCTACTTCAGATAATGGAACACAGTCCTTTTCCATCAGGGCTTGTTCCGTTACTGATGAGTCCTTTTCCATCAGGGCTTGTTCGGTTGCTGATGAGTCCTTTTCCATCAGGGCTTGTTCCGTTGCTGATGGGTTCTGATTTTGAGTATATTCGGCCTTCTTAGGCTGTTTTTTTCCCTTCATTATAGATGAACCGCCTTTCTAATTAGTTTTCTGAGTCGACGTCCGACTTACTGATTCCCAGTGCTGGGATCCGAGCCGCCCACTGTGGCAGCCTAAATAGCAGCGATAAGACTGATGGTGCTCCTCTGCCCGGGAATCTCTGGTCTGGCTTCCCTCTTGAGTCCGCAACAAGCGGCTCTGACTTTCCGGAGCTCCAAACTCCGGTCAGTAGGGGAAGCAGTCCCGTTGGCTCTGCGTGAAGAGCTGCTGCGCCGAGACGCTGGCAAAACCGCTGTGGCAGCCACAAGAGTCGCGCTGGCGACCCGTGGGGCTCCTCCACTGGGAATTGGCTAATCGGTGAGTGACGAAAATTCGTCTAAAGATGTGGCGTCGTCTCGTTCTCTGAGCTTTCACTGGGGACATTAATTTTTCTGTGACTTGAATGCTGTTGAGTGTTCTTGAAATGGAAAATCATAAACTGATCATTGTCTCCAAATTGACAAATCAACTTTTCAGGCAAGAGTAAGAGGAAACAGTTTGAGGCTAGTGAAGATTTACAAATAATATGACTTATAAGAACTAAAATAATGTTTAGAAATGGCTACCCAATGCTATAAATGTTGCTGCTTGAAAAGTGATCTTTAAAATTTAATATGTTCTTCAAGGAAAACATGGAACTTTGAGCTGCAAAATAATTTAAAGAAGGTTATAAAGCTAATGAAATCAGATTTTCCTTTGGGTTTGTAAGAGATGAGGACCTTCCCTAGTCTCACTATTCTGGATGAGGCCTGTTAGAGAGGAACTCGATAGACTCTGTGTTGTAAGAGGTTGAGCGGCCTGGCTGAACTCTTCTTCTATCCATTCCTGAACTCATGGGACTTTAAACTTTAATGTTAAAACTTGAATAACTATCAAACTTCCTTTGTAAAAAATAATTGTAGGCTGCTGAACGCTACTATTTTTTTAACATTGATTATTAATTACAGAAAAAATGATAATATAAAAAGTTAAGAAATTATATATCCTGCAACTGGAGAATGGCTAAAGTATGGTATTTCCAGAGTGTTGAATACTATGATTATGTTCAGCATGGACTATAAACTTAAATGCCTACAGAGATTAGGTAGGTAACATAAATGAGTGCAGTGTTCCTGTATTAGAACCTGGGAGCAATAGAGATTGAAGATTTGAAGGGTGAATACTTCATCTACAGAAGGCAGATGCTATTTGGTTCCAGTCAGTTGTTCAGTTATTGGTCTTCTTCAGTGTTGTCAGAACTTCCTGTTTTTAAAACACTTATATTTGGAAGTAATATCAAATTTACAAAAAGTTGCAAAAATAAGATATAAGAAAAGAATAGCTATGCACTTTACTTACCTTCTTTTATTTATTAATTTTGCACTCCATTTGAATTCTCTCTGTACACATGTACACACACACACACACACACACACACACACACACGCAATTTTTTTTGAAACCATTTGAGGATATGTTAAATACATCATGGCTCTTTACTCCTAAATACTCTATTGTATATTTCCTATAACTAGAAACCTGACACCTGCTGTTCTTGAGCTGGGACACCTGGAGTGGGATGAAGACATGGCATGAGGAAGTCCTCTCCCCTGGCCAGTAGGGGACAGTCAATCAGCTGCTACTCCCAAATAGAGTGGTAACCCCAAACAGAGGTTGGAAATCACTGCACTAGACAATTGTCATTATAAAAATGATACCGCCAATATATGCATATACATTTATAAATTAAGTTTATGTACAAGTCTACTGATATATTATGTGCCTTATAAAACATATACTTAAAAAGGATGAGATGAAATTAGATATTAATACAAATACAAAATTGAATTTTTCTTTCTGTACTCCAAGGGAACATCTTGCTCTTCTAAGGTATGTGCCTCTTAACCTTTGGGGCTATTGCTCTACACTGTGAGGGTTAAACAGGAAAAAGACCACCATGATTTCCAAACCTGAGTCTGGGTCCTGCTCCCTGATGTATCCCTTTAACATCTGCCAGCTCTCTCTATCGCAACATACTGCTTTCTTTGCCTTCATGGTACTTATCACCACTGGCAGTCATCTTGCACATCTGTGTGTTCATTTGTCTAAATCCTTTCTGCCCCAACTAGAACACAGCTCCCTGAGAGCCACGGTCTTGCCTGGCTTGTTCATTTCTAATTTCTCAGTATCTAGAACACGGTGTGGCACATAGTAGGTGCCTGTTAGATACTTGTTAATAAATGGAACTAAACATATTCCTAGTTCTTATTCCAGCTCTTTCCTCACTGTTTTGTCTTCAATTCTTCTGGCAGGCAACAGGACAAGTCCCCCAACCCCCTGCAGGAAGCTAACAATACCCTAGCCTACTTCTAAGCAAAACCTCTCAGCTTCAAAGACCTTCCATGGAGGGCAACAGGCTGAGGACAATCTTGTTCTTCACATAAAACACAGGCCTACAATCTCAAATTCATAATTTAAAAATACATATACTTACAATACCTCTAAAGGCATTTATTTTTCTTAAAAATAATGTATTTGTAAGCTGAATTATCATTTTAACACAAAAGCTATCATTCTTGCTCAATGGAGTCAGGCTGCTCTTGGAGTTTCTGTCCTGGGAGGAAAAAGGGCATGACATACCTGATGGTTTTCCACATGTCAAAGCCATCCAGAGGCTTGGTACCATTGGTGTGTCCCCTGGCCAGCTTCACGAGTGTTGGCAGCCAGTCCGAGATGTGGATGAGCTCCCGGTTCTTCACGCCCTTCTGCTTCAGCAAGGGGCTTGCCACAAAGCCCACCCCTCGGACGCCTCCTTCCCACAGGCTCCATTTCCTTCCTCGAAGGGGCCAGTTATTGCCTCCTGCCAAAGTCTGCCCTCCATTATCTGAAACACAGGTAGGTCTTGGCATGAGGATGATGTTAACCCTTAAATACATTTAGCAACAGAGACTCTATATACACTGTTATTAAATGGTGCTTAAAGAATAAAAAAGAAAATTCCTTACCTTTCCCACACTAAATTCCCTTTTCCCATTGACACTGCCTTTCATTACCCAGTCATAACTAAGTCCCAGTGTGATGCATATCTACCTCTAAATCCTCCATGGAGAAGGCCATTGAAAAATGAGGCAGTTCCCTGATGATATGCACTTTGGAGACATCCCTATGCCAAATAATCCATAAACTTTAAATACACGTGTGTTACTTTGTATAGCATGGGAAAATGAGTCCACGGGAGCCAGGACCCTCCCCATATATGAAGAGAAAACTAAGTGAATTTCACTTAGTGACTTAATGCTCCTGATAAGTTGGGACAAAAACTAACCTTTTTCTTTTCCTCTTGGAAAAAGAAATTCTAGAATTTAAAGTAGAAAATGAATTAACATTCTACTCCCTGGCAATAATATCTCTTTCTTAAGTGTGAAAGCTGAGTACTTCTCCAGTGGTTGATAAATGTCTTTGTAAACAGAGCATTGGCTGGAAAAAGTAATTGTGAGAAAAATTCTTCCCTTCTTGACAGGATGGTGAAATAAAGCTTCATTATGTACAATACCAGGGAAGAGAAGGTGTCTCTTCCGACTTTGGCAAAGACAGGGTAGAAGTTACTAGAGAAAGTGAAGTTAAGTATCTTACCAGCCAGGTGAGGGCTCAAAGTTAAACATTAAAGTGGACAGTAGAGCAGGTTCAGAGGAGGGATCCAAGATGGCCAAATAGGAACAGCTCTGAAGTGCAGTCCCCAGGGAGAACAATGCAGAGGGTGAGTGATCACTGCATTTCTAAATGAGTTATTACTGCCCACAGACCAGGAGATTCCCAGGCTGAAAAGCACCACTAGTTTCCAGCACAGCTGTTTCAGCTGGCACAGTGGGTCTTTGCACAAAAACTCAAACAAGTCTGGACGGCCGTTTCAACTGGCACTTGGAACGCCTGGAGACGGAGCTGCCCATCCAACTGAAAAAAAGGGGGCTGAAACAGGGAGCCAGGAGATCTGGCTCTGTGAGTCCCACCCTGACAAAGACCAGCAATCTGAAACACTCTGGATTGAGAGTTTCACAGCAAGCACAGCTGGACCTGGGATGGTCCAGCTCTGTCAGGGGAAAGGCATCTGCCATTACTGAGGCACTCCATCACTACCAAGGCAGTCCACCATTACCAAGGCAATCTGCCATTACAGAGGCAGTCTGCTATTACCGAGGCAGTTCTAACCATACCTCTATAAACAAAACTGCAAGGAAGTTCACACAGTAGCAGGGCAGAGCCCAAAGCAGCTCAGCAATGCCTCTGTTGGTAGACTGTGACTAGGCTAGCTCCTCGTTGGGTAGGGCATCTCTGAAAAAAGACGCAGCATGTCAGGAACTTATAAATAAAGCACCACCTTCCCAGGGCAGAGCACCTGGGAAAAAAGGCGGTTACGAGTCCTGTTGCAGCAGACTCAAACATACTTGCCCAGCAGCTATGAATGGAACAATGGAGCTCACAGATCAGCACTTAAGCTCCTACAAGGAATAGACTGTCTCCTCAAGCAGCTCCTCACCACCCGCATATCCAAAGAGACACCTCATAAAGAAGAGCTCAGGCTGACATCGGGTGGATATCCTTCTGGTAGGAAGATCACACAGGAAGAAACTGGCAGAAACCCTTACTGTTCTGCAGCCACTACAGGTGATCCCCAGGCAAGCAGGGTCTGGAGTGGATCTCAGCAGTCCTACAGCAGAGGGGCCTGACTCTTAGAAGAAAAACTAAGAAAGAGAAAGAAATAACTTCATCATCAACAAAAAGGACATCCACTCCAAGACCCCAACGGAAAGTCACCAACTACAAATAACACAAGTATATAAATCCACAAAGATGGGAAGAAACCAGTGCAAAAAGGATGAAAACACCCAAAACCAGAATGCCTCTCCTCTTCCAAGGGATCACAACTCCTCACCAGCAAGGGAACAAGGCTGGATGAAGAATGAGTCTGATGAATTGACAAAAACAGGCTTCAGAAGGTGGGTAATAAGAAACTTCTCTGAGCTAAAAGAACATGTTCTAACCCAATGCCAAGAAACTAAGAACCTTGAAAAAAGGTTTGATGAAATGCTAACAAGAATAAACAGCTTAGAGAAGAATATACATGACCTGATGGAGCTGAAAAACACAACACAAGAACTTCGCAAAGCATACACAAGTTTCAATAGCCAAATTGACCAAGCAGAAGAAAGGATATCAGAGATTGAAGATCAACTCAATGAAAAAAAACAAGAGGGCAAGACTAGAGAAAAAAGAGTGAAAAGAAATGAATAAAGCCTACAAGAAATATGGGAGTACATGAAAAGACCTAATCTACATTTAATAGGTGTACCTCAATGTGATGGAGAGAGTGAATCCAAGCTGGAAAACACTCTTCACGGTATTATCCAGGAGAACTTCCCCAACCTAACAAGGCAGGCCAATATTCAAGTCCAGGAAATACAGAAAACACCACAAAGATATTCCTCATCAAGAAGAGCAACCCCAAGGCACATAATTGTCAGATTCATTAGGGTTGAAATGAAGGAAAAAATGCTAAGGGCAGTCAGAGAGAAAGGCTGCATTACACACAAAGGAAAGCCCATCAGACTCACAGAAGATCTCTTGGCAGAAACCCTACCGGCCAGAGGAGAGTGAGGGCCAATATTCAACATCCTTAAAGAAAAGAACTTTCAACCTAGAGTTCCATATCCAGCCAAACTAAGCTTCATAAGCAAAGGAGAAATAAAATACTTTACAAACAAGCAATTGCTCAGAGATTTCATCACCACCAGGCCTACCTGACAAGAGCTCCTGAAAGAAGCACTAAACACAGAAAGGAACAACCAGTATCAGCCACTCCAAAAAACATACCAAATGGTAAAGAGCATTGACATAATGAAGAAACTGCATCAACTAATGGGCAAAACAACCAGCTAGCATCAAAATGGCAGGATCAAATTCACACATAACAATATTAACCTTAAATGTAAATGGGCTGGCTGGGTGCAGTGGCTCATGCCTGTAATCCCAGGACTTTGGGAGGCTGAGATGGGTGGCTCATGAGGTCAAGAGATCGAGACCATCCTGGCCAACACAGTGAAACCTCATCTCTATTAAAAATACAAAAACATTAGCTGGGCATGGTGGCACATGCCTGTAGTCCCAGCAGGAGAATTGCTTGAATGCGAGAGGCAGAGGTTGCAGTGAGCTGAGATTGTGCCACTGCACTCCAGCCTGGTGCCTGGCAACAGAGTGAGACTGTCTCAAAAAAAAAAAATTGTAAATGGGCTAAATGCCCCAATCAAAAGACACAGACTGGCAAATTGGATAAAAAGCCAAAACCCATCAGTGTGCTGTATCCAGGAAACTCATCTCATGTGCAAGGATACACATAGGCTCAAAATAAAGGGATGGAAGAAGATTTACCAAGCAAATGGAGTGCAAAGAAAAAGGAGGAGTTGCAATCCTAGTCTCTGATAAAATAGACTTTAAAACAACAAAGATCAAAATAGACAAAGAAGAGCATTACATAATGGTAAAAGGATCAATGCAACAAGAAGAGCTAACAAACCCAATACAGGAAGACTCAGATATATAAAGCAAGTTCTTAACGACCTACCAAGAGACTTAGACTCCCACACAATAATTGAGGGGGACTTTAACACTCCACTGTCAACATTAGATAGATCAACGAGACAGAAAATTAAAAGGATTTGAATGCCGATCTGGACCAAGCAAACCTAATGGACATCTACAGAACGCTCCACCCCAAATCCACAGAATTATTCTTCTGTGGATTTGGGATATACATTCTTCTCAGCACCACATCACACCTACTGTAAAACTGACCACATAATTGGAAGTAAATCACACCTCAGCAAATGCAAAAGAACAGAAATCATAACAAACAGTCTCTCAAACCCCAGTGCAATCAAATTAGAACTCAGGATTAAGAAACTAACTCAGAACTGCACAAGCTTATGGAAACTGAACAACTGGCTCCTGAATGTTGACTGGCTAAACAATGAAATGAAGGCAGATATAAAGATGTTCTTCGAAATCAATGAGAAGGAAGACACAACGTACCAAAATCTCTGGGACACATTTAAAGTAGTGTCTATAGGAAAAATTATAGCAATAAATGTCCATAGGAGAAGCAAGGAAAGCTCTAAAATTGACACCCTATCATCAAAATTGAAAGAGCTAGAGGAGCAAGATCAAAAAAACTCAAAACCTAGCAGAAGACAAGAAATAACTAAGATCAGAGCAGAACTAAAGGAGATAGAGATATAAAAAAAACCTTCAAAAAATCAGTAAATCCAGGAGCTGTTTTTTTCAACAGATCAACAAAATAGACCACTAGCCAGATTAATTAAAAAAAAAGAGAAGAATCAAATAGATGCAATAAAAAATGATAAAGGGGATATCATCACTGATTCCACAGAAATACAAACCATCATCAGAGATTACTACAAACAACTCTATGCACATAAACCAGTAAACCTGGACGAAATGGATAAATTCCTGGATACTTGCACCCTCCCAAGCCTAAACCAGGAAGAAGTCAAAAGCATGAATAGACCAATAACAAGGGCTGAAGTTGAGGCAGCAATTATAGCCTACCAACCAAAAAAGTCCCAGTCCAAAATCAGGTCCACCGCTGAATTCTACCAGACATACAAAGAGGAGCTGGTACCACTCCTTCTGAAACTATTCCAAACAATCAAAAGAGATTTGATTCCTTCCCAAATCATTTTATGAGACCAATGTCATGCTGATACCAAAACTTGACAGAGACGCAACAAGTAAAGAAAACTTCAGGCCAATATCCATGATGAACATAGATGCAAAAATCTTCAATAAAATACTGGCAAACTGATTGCAACA